ACCAGAAGAGTTTCACTTGGGTGACCTCCTTTCTAGATATTTAAGAAAAAATGATGAATTCCTTTGAGTATGAGTCAAGGCTAATCTCTTTTCTTATAAAGTTTGATAGCCTGTTCCCTTCTGCAAGTGTCATAATGTTACAGGAATTACCTACTAGGGCAGTTTTCCAGGAATCTTTTTTGGATACTCTTTCCCAAGAAGATGTCTTTTGAATCACCCCCTCCCTGGGGCCAGGTAATTCTCCATTATGAATGGTAGTTCGACACCTCAATCCAGCTCACTTTACCATTGTGTAATTTTCTACCCTTTGGAAATTTCTACCAGTTTGGCTCTTACTGGAACATCCATCCATTCAGCTGCCTCTTGAGGAAGCTCCTTGCTCAGCAAGGATGGAGACAGAGGAGAAGGGAACTGAAGGAGAATGAGAGGGCCAGTTGCTGGCTGGTTTCTTCTGCCTTCCCTCCTGGCCCCTGGCTGCTTTCAAGGAGCTCCTTCACTGGCTAGATCTGCATCCTGGGGGCCTCAAACTCTGTTCTGGTGTTTGGCATCAGAGGTTGTAATATGCTGGGAAGAGCTTAGATCTGGAATTAGAAGACCTGTGTTTGTGTCCTGCCTCTAATAACTAGGTGCTCCTGGCAATCATTTAGCCACTCAGGATTTTAGTGATAAAATGAGAATAATATCTCTCTGTGGTTTTTATCCAGCTCAAACACATGTATATAAAAGGCTTTTTATAACCTCTAAAGCATCACATAGATATAGGTCAGATGGCTCTTGCCATTGATATTAAAAATATTTATGTTTAAGCACAGAGGGGTTGTGGTGAAGGCACACGTTCATAAAGGTTCATTTTCTTGTAAAATAGAGTGGACCCTGGGAAGTGTCTGCCCAGCCAGGTCTGTATTTCCCAGTCTCCTTTGCCTTTGGGTGGGATAAAGCCATGAGCACTTTCTAATGGAATACAAGCAAAAGTAATGCATGTCACTTCAGAGCCAAGGGAGTCCGAAGTGTGTGTGCCTTCTCGAATATTCTTCCTTTCTGGCACTGGAAGAGGAGCATGCCAAGGCCTTAGCGAGGGGCAGAAATGCAAAATGGAGGGAAGTGGATTTCCTGGATCATCATGTGGAAGAGAACTACCTGCTACCTGGGCACATCCTCGTTGGATTATCGCAAGAGTGAGGAGCAAACTTTCATCCTGCTACGCTTCTGTGATCCTGGGGTTTACTTATTATAGCAGCAATATCAGCCTGGTAACAAATAAATCTGGGAGCGGGAACGCGTGGCTCAGTCAGTAAAAAGTGCTGAAAATGAACATGTGTGCAAAGGCTGGAAATGTCTTTTTTCACTCTAATACACAGGCCACAGGGCCAGGGAATTCCAAAAGGACCTCTGCAACGCTCTGTCGGGTAAGGTTGTTGTTATACATACACACACATGCACACGTGCATGCCTATAAACACACAGGTGCACACATCACTTTTGTGTATGTTTTCCAGAAGGCCAGAGTGAAAGGTAGAAGTAATAGCCTCTGAGGCCATGGAAGAGCTTATCTGTAGCTCAGGAAACTAGTCCAGACCAGAGATGGAGCGGTGCAGGTCCACAGAACCAAGGAATGACAGCCTCCAGGCCAGCACCTGGGGCTTCAGGTTCCCAGGCTCTTCTTCTCAACCCTCTTTCCCATTCCCTCTGGTTTATCCCAGCCTCTCCCTTGATAAAAGCCTGAAATCTAGATAACCCAGAAACGGCTCAAAAAGGGGGAATGGTAGGTACAAATGGATCTCATGACTTAGCATCTACCCTGTAATCAGCTAAAGGACATTTTTCATTTGCATCTTAGTGGCTGGCAAAGAACTGAAAGAGCCTGTTGGCCAAACCTTTCTCCTTGTCTACTTTTCTGGGTTGTTTCGTGTCCCCTTGAACCCTACATTCTAGCCAAGCCTGCCAGCGTTATCCCTGGATGATACTATAACCTGCTTACCCCTCTTACCAAGCCCCCTCACCAAAAGATTCTTCCTTTAAGATCCTACTTAAATGTCACGTGCTCTGTTTTTCCCAATGCTTCCAGGCTGAGTTAGTGTTTCTGGTGGTACCTATTTATGGCATTCTCAGAGCACTCATGACAGAACTGGAATTTTTATTTGTACCTTGGTGGTTCATATGCTTCATAGGCCCCTTCCCAACACTTGGCTTTTTGGAAAGGGCAATAGTACCTGTGATGTCACCCCTCTCCTTTCCTGAGCCGTTCAGACTGGGAGTTCAAACTCCCAATCCACAGGCACCGCACCCCCAGCCTCCAACAGAGGGTTCTGCCTTTCAGGAATAGCCCTTTGGGGATAGGAGATTGGTCTCATTCTCTCCATTAAGAATTCATTCTCAAGAGAAAAGGGATGTTCCCGTCAATTGTGGGAATGGAGCTATAGAGTTATGCCATAGTGTCAGGGCGGGTGGCCACACTTGGCCATGGGTCAGACAAGCAGAGCACCTTGAGAGGGAGAGGAAGGGGCCAGATCTGAAGGGGAGACAGGAGCAAGGAGTGTGGGGACTATGCCATCTGGGGGTGGGGAAGAGAAGACTTGGTTCCCGAGGGCTTTCAGCCTCCTATTGCCGGCTGTACCTTCTGTCTTGAGTTCCATGAGAGCAGTCCCTTCACCAGGCCTTTGCAGCATTGCCTCCCCTCCCCCCACTTCTTGGACGAGGTTAATGGGTTTCTGTTTCTTGGAACCAAAAGGGCCCTGGTTAAGAAAGCATTACCTGTGCCTCTGGACCATGAGTTGCTTGAAGTCTTCCGTCTATCACCAGAATGTAGCTCAAGGCTGTGACGGTGTTCAAAATCCACTTGTTGCACAGATGATAAGTCAATGAATGAACGAATGTGCCTACTGGTAATAAACACAAGGCCCCGTTTGCCTGGCTGGACTCCTGCCCCACCGTGCCTTTCGGATACAAAAGCCTCCTTCCCTTAATCACCACAGCTCTGCTGCTTCTGTCCCCCAGCATCCCATCGTCCAGCTTTTGACAGGTGGCATTTCCCTGACGTATTTTTTTGCTTTAAAAACACTGGGTCTGGAACACTGGCCTCTGAGGGAACGCAGAGGCAGACAGGAGATACAAATAGGACATGACACTTTCACCTCAACCACATCTGCTCCAGAAGAAAAACCCCAGCTGGCCCCCTGGACCTCTTCCTGAAGAAACATGGAAGGAGCAAGCTGTATTTAGAGAGATATAAGTATAGCTTTTATTTTTTTTTTTTAAACCAACCCAACATTTCCACTGGCAACTGTCAACATAGCTTATGACATGAGCACTGTTTCTTTTTTAGTTATTTTTTTCTTAAAAAAATGTGTTTAAAATTAAACAGGTGTTTTTTTAATTTCTCTTTTTTCCCCTTAAAAAAATGTATTTATGTCAATGCAGAAAGCCTAAAGATCTGTGGGCAGTTTTGTGATGAGTTCCTATGTGTATCCGTGTGTGTGTGTGTGTGTGTGTGCACGCGCGTGCACACACAAGCGTGTGGGTTTTAAAGCCAGGTCCTTTTCAAATTTGTTGGGAAAAGGTCTGTAGGCCACAGCAATCTCTTTTTCTATAAACCCAGGCTCCGTGGGATGATAGCAACTAAAGTTCCTCTTAGTGGGGACAAGAAATAGCCCACAGGCTGGAAAAAGAGCTTCGTGACGTTTAAAAACAAGCAGGAATGTGGGAGAGATGAGAAATTCCAGTTCCTCTCTTGTGAAAATGCTTTCAAACGTGACCTGAGGGTCCAGGAGAGGTGGAAGGAGCCCCTGGTTTTCTTATCAACCTCTCGGTTGATTAAAAAAAAAAAAAATCTCAAAAAATACAGTCAGGCCTCTCAGTGTGGCACATTAGAAAGTGAGGGGCTGGTGAGGCTGACATTTGTCTGACACACTGACGCTTTTAAACACAATCTTTCCCCTTAAAGATCTCACGAGGTGGACAGCTCTTCTGCTCGGCCTCAGATCCGAAGCCAAAGATGACTCAAGAAGCCATCTATGCCTTTTGTCTCCCCAGCCGCCCTCTGTCATCAGATCCCGTTCCTATTCCTGTCCCCCGTCTCACAAGTGGTGAGTCGTCCCCCCCGCACAAGGATGAACGTATAGACCCGGCCCCAGGGAGATGGACAGAGTAAACTGGAAAGGGGAGGGAAGGAACCATGACTTTTTGCTTTGAACTGGATTTTGACAGAAGCATATAAAGGTCTTCCTGCCCCTGCCACAGCCCTGGTTCTTCAGCCCACCGCATGGGTGTGCAAACACACTACCACCCAAATGCCAGCCCTCTCCCACTGAGAAAGAAAGCAGATGTGGGGGGGGGCAGTGCAGGATTCCGCTGGAGCCAAAAGAGCTGTTACCGGAGGAGAGGGGGAGAGGGTGCCACTGAGCGTCCTGCCTCTGCCTGTCCCTCCCAGGGAGTTCCTCCACAGCACCTTTGTTAACCGACTTCAGAAGGAAAAGACATATGAGCAAACAATGAGCGACACCTGATGGCAAAGTGAGCACAGTAATGGCTACGATGAAAAGAGAACCGGAAAGTGGCCTGGGGGGGGGGGGGGGGGCTGGGCAATAGGACTCACTTCCACCCCCACCAGCTGGGGGACAGTGTGGGGATGCAACCAACAGGACAGACGTGGAAGCCCTGCCCCAGGGAAGGAGAAGAAGCAAAGGGATAATCAGAGGGCGGTGGAAGGTTTGACCTCTGCTGTGGGTCAGGACACGGATGGGAAGATGGGGAGGAGGTGGATTTGTGGCTGTTGTTGGTTTGTATTGAATTAAATACTTTGTAAAGAGGGTTTTTCCTCCACTCAGTTTGACTGGTTAAGACTCTGCCCTTTCAGTCCCACTGCCCCGGGGGGCCTAGGTCGGGTGAGGTTCCTGGGGCCTCTGTGGGCTGCTCCCCCACCCCCCAGGTGAGGTCACGGTGGCCAAGTGCCCTTCTCTCAGGAGAAGTCCGAGGCATGTGCAGTGGAGGCCCCGCACCCAGGCTCAGAAGCCCTTGATGTAGCAGTAGGCCTCCAGCGTGGCAAAGAGTATGTACAGGAGCCACAGGCCCACAAAGAGCCACGTCGTGGCCAGCTTGCAGCCGCGTGGGCCCCCCAGCTCCCCGCCCAGGTGGGGCCGCCGGCGGTACAGAAGCACGCTGATGCACACAAACGCGAAGATGGTGAAGAGGGTGACCGAGAAGGCCAGCGTGCCCGCTGACACGTAGAACTCCTGTCCCTGCAGGGCCCAGTAGATGGCGGCCACGGACCAGGCCAGGCCAATGCCCAGGAAGACGTTGATGGCGTTGCTGCCCGTGACATTGCCGATGGAGGCATCAGAGTACAGATCCTGGATGGCCGCGGCTTTGCTGGCAAACATGTCTGGAAGAGGGAGAGAGGATGGGAGCTGGAGGGAGCCTGAGACGCGGAGGGCCCCCCACTCCCGCCCCGGCCCCACTGTATGTACAGAAGGCAGCTGGGGCCCCAGACCAAGCTCAGGAAGGAGAGGCAGGCTGTGTGGCCTTGGACATGAACAGGCTGTGTGGCCTTGGACAGGTCACCTCACTTCTCTGGGCTTTAGGTTCCTCATCCGCTGGGGTCTGAAAGATCCCTAAGGGCCTAGGTCCTGATATTTACTGAGTGGGTGTGCTGTTCCCTTTGGATTTTTTTTCTTCTTCTTCTTTTTTTTTTTTCCCGGTAAGGGGAGTTTGCTATTTCTCCATCTGCCCAGGGAAACTTGGCCGCCTGGGAAGCTGCTGAGCGCAGATGCTGATTGTAACCATCTTGCACAATATCAGCTCACATAACAGACTCATGGCCCCCGGGCTTGGCATTGCGTTAGGGGCTGGATTTATTCGGACAGAGACATGCCAGGGAACCATGAGGTACGGACTCAAGGAAGATGGGACTCAGTCTCTGTAGTTAGTATATGGGGCACGGGGCTCTGCGAGCTGCTTGACTTTAGATGTTGGCCTGGACTGTAGGCGTTGGGAGGACTGTCGGGGACATCTAGCCACCCTTTGATTTCACAGGTAAGGATAATAAGGGTCAAGCAATCTACCCAAGGTTACACGGGCAGTTAACAAGACATTTGGTCCTAAAACTCTCATGGATGGGCCCTTTGCATATGATCATCCCAAAGAATTTCGGGCAAAGCCATGAAATCAGCTGAGTGCACCACTGTGTAACCTTTCTCAAGCCCCTGATGCTGCCAGCTGCTCCCTGACCAAGTGCAAGGACTTGGAAGTGTCCCAAGCTTGTCCTGGCTTGCCTCCTTCTTGCCAATTTTCTCGGATCTCGGAGAGAAAATCTCTTGCCTTTTCTTACCTATGACCTTGCTCTTCCCCCTCTGATCCTCTGCAATTTCTTTTCACGTGTGTCCCTTTTCCCACTGTGATAGTTCTGCTCCTTTCCCTCTGTTAGTTCCGTCCCTTGAGGCCTGGAGAACGGAGATCACAGGGCATCTCCTCCACAAAGCTTTCCATGCACCATCCATCTAATTTCCTACCACCTGACACATTTCCAGGAGAGCCAAGGCTCTTGCATCACTAATGTGCAAATCATCCCACTGCTCTGTGCTGGGGTTTGGGGACGAGGTTTCCCTGGAGTGTCATGTCAATTCAGTTACCCTCCAGGGGGATTTATTCTCTTAGTCCAGGAAGAGTTTCCCTGGGTGCAGCCAGCAGAGTCCCGTCTGATGGGATTCAACGTAACCCTCTTGGCACTTGACACTCTCTCTTCCTTGCTGTGGCAGCAGGGAGGCTCCCTGGCAGGAGTTCAGGTTCAGATGTCCTGGACACCCAGCTGAACTCAGTCAGGAGCCTGAGCTAACATAGCCCTCTGCTCCTTGTCGTTCCAGCCCAGCTTATATAAGCCTCTCTTGGAAGCCGTTCACGAACCAGCCCAGCCCCATCCCTCCGTCTATGCTAACACAGCACCTCTACTCTCTTGTCATTTAACTTAAATGGAGATGATTTCAATAATGGGAGTTGAGTCGTTTCTGCCGCTAGCTGCTGAACTCCACTCAGAGTGGGGAGCGCGCCTGCCCACCTTCCACGACAGCCTAGCACGAGACTGCATCGGGCTCCATGAATATTTGCCTAATGAATGAATAAATTCAGGCTTGCTCTTGTTCGTCTCTGGGTGTTTATGCGAAAAGAAAAGAACATGTAATTCATCATATGAAAGGACACGAGCTCACTAAGCTTCCTCTCCTGTCCTGTCAGGAGAAGATTTGTACTCACAGGTGTCCTTCTAAGTGAGGGAGCCAAGAATTCTCGTGAAGATTTCCAGGGCGACACCTTCCAGCGGGCTAATCTTTGGTCTCAGAGGCTGCCAGAGACACGTGGGAGGAAAACTGTATCTATGGTCTTTGTGTTGTTTGTGGCCTTCATATCACGTGGCGGTTGAGAAAGTGGGCTGCTCACACGGGCAGCCGATTTAGCTCTGTGGGCCTCAGTGTCCTCATTTGTCACGTGGGGATAATAATGATCCCGATTACGTAGGGATCTGGTAAGCATTACAGAGAGAAAACATGTCAACTGTGTGGCATACACAGAGCCCGACACATCAAAAGGGCTCAAGGAATGTCTGCTCTCACTAGTGCTGTTGTCAGGAATCCCTTTGACTTCCGCACACCTTCGGGGCAGAGGCTCTGTTAGCTCAGATCAGTGGTAGTAAGAAGATCTTGAGGCAAAGTGGAGGGGGTCACTTGGACCCAGGAGTAACCTCTTTGCAAACCCAGGCTCCCCTCACTCTTACCTGGCACAGAGGTGCCAAATGCCACAAAGACAACAGCTGTGACTGAGTCCTTGAGACCAATGGTGCAGCCAAAGTGGGAGGCCAGGTCCCCGATGACGGCCGTGAGCATGCCGATGATGAGAATGGACACGACGAAGCAGGCCCAGCCGTGACAGTACTCCGTGGGGGGCACGCAAGCAAACAGCACCTTCCAGAAGACGGTCAGAAAGTGCATGACGTAGTCAAAGCAGGACGGCAGCCTCTCCTCGCCTGACTCATCCTCATCCTCATCCCCTGCTGCAGACAAGATAAAACAGGCCCCCGGGAAGGGCGCGAGGTCAGGTCCCCATTCAGGAAAACTCAGGTCAACCCAACATGGCAAGCATTATCAGTGGGCAGGACACTCCCGCTCTCTCCTGAGCTGCCGGGGGGCCAGGTTGCGGGTGCCTGAAAACACTGGAGAAAGGGGAGCCGGACAAAGGGTCGGGGTGGGGGGAGATCACAGGAGGGACAAGGTGATGAGGCAGAGAGGAGGGTGGAGGAGGCTTCCTCGGTTGCCTGGGCCAAGAAAAGCAAAATCAGCTGTATGTCTGAGCTCCTCCCTAACTTTCCTGACCCGCCTGCTGAAGTAACCTTGTGGTTCCAGTTGCCATCCGTCCCCAGAGGCGCGGCTGTCATTCCAGATCATGTGGGCATACCAGAGAACCAGCGCCATCCTCCCGATATCCCGTGGGACAGAGCGGGGCTGGGCCCCATTGTCCTCGCCAGGAAACAGGGGCCAAGTGGCCCGTTCAGCGGTCCGGGAGGAGAGGATGTGCTGAGGCCCGCTGGCACCCGGTCCGGGGCAGCCTCGGTTAGATTTAACACGATTGGAGGAAGTGAGGGTTTTAACAAGCAGGAGTTAGGACACGTGAGTTCCGGTTGCAGCTTTGCCAGGAAGAGGATCTGTAAGCTGGGGAAAATCACCTCTTATTTCTAACCCTCAGTTCCTTTGTTCAAGAAAGGAGGGGGTTTGATGATGTGGCCTATATTCTGTTTATTGTCCCCTTAGGGGCAAAGTAATGTCATCAGAGGGTGTCCTGGGGAGATCTGAGGAGGGCCACGTGAGATGTGGGGGAGCAGCGGCTGAAGACACCCTCTCTTCCTGGCGGTCCTTCTGCTCTGGCTCCTGGGCCTCAGGGATGTGACCCTGTGGGTTGCTATGACAACGAAGCCTCATGAAAGCAGACAAGGCCAGTGGAGCTGGGCAGAATGAGGAGGCTGTCGTGGTGCCAAGAGGCACTGTGGGTGGTGATGGAGACACCTTGTCTGGGGTCCTGGCTGTGCTCTGGGCCACCACTGAGGGAGCCTGACAGTGAATGGACAAGGAGAGGTCTGGAATCATCCAGAGTGGAGGTTTGCCAGTGTCAATGCGGGGAATTTACAAACTCTGGACCCCCCACATCTCTAATCAGAGTAGTCCTCCACTTAACAGAAAAGGAGGACCAAAATAATGAGAGGAAGGAATGATGGAAAGCAGAATTTAATGAGTTCTGTTTGGCACCGGACTCTCATTCAGCTTTGCTGAGAAAGGTCGAAATGATTCCCTTTTTGAATGAGGAAATTGAGGTGGAGGGAAGCTAACTTGTCCCACGTCACACAGCAGAGCCAGGATTCAAAACCAGCAGGTAGCCAGGCTCTCCCAGCTACCCCATGATTCTTCTCCGAAGTGACCTGGTAAAACAGGCCAACAGCAAGGACTAGATCTGGGATGCAGAGGCCTTCCCAGAAATCGGTAGCTGCGGATGGGGCTGTGTTCGCCCTTCTCTGGAGTTGCCTGTTTCTCTCAGCAAGGCCAGTGCCCATCTTGAGACCCTCTTACCTGCACTGACAGTGATGGCCTCCATGAACTGGTCCCTCCAGGAATGGGTCCCCACAACCATGGCCAGGTTTGTCTTCTTGATCAGTTTGTCCACCGTATTCTGTTGGGGAGATAAAAACTCGGAATCATGAAGTTAGAATGCTCAGGACTGTGGAGGAGTCTGATGCTTCAAGGGGATGAAAGATGTCTTGCATTCTGGGCATATATCCACATGGGTTCTGGGAATAATGGCCTTGCATGGTATCTTCTGGGTCAGTCTTTCTATTTCTCTTTTCTTTGGTTGTGATGGCAGATATTGGATACTTAGAGCTATACAATAAAGCATAATGGTATTGATACCAATAAATGTTGCCCCAGAGATGTAAATTTTAGAATTTTTGTTTTTAAAATTCAGTTGAACAATAGAAATAATACATACAGGGGCTTTATAGCCCTTTTATTCCATTTGTTATGTTTCCTCCCAATATTCCTAGGATCTAAATGGCCAGGGCTATTCGTTCCAGGTTACACATGGGGACATTGACACTGGGTGAGTAGGTGATTTGTTCAGTTTCAACTTCATTATTGAGTGGTGAAATCGGAACAAAACTTCTACCTCCCACCGCATTACTCTATTATTCAATTAGATCTCACTTATGGCCTGACCTTGAACTCAAAGGATTCTTCAATGATGACCTCTAGTTTGGGATGTTCGCCCAGTACTGGCTTTCCCATTTCTGCTATCCTCTTGGCCTCCTCCTCCTCCACAGTCAGCTTTCTGTCTGTCACCTCTGCAACAAAACAAAATCAGACTAGCTTTAGCACATTCTCCACTCCCTAGGGATCTATAGCTCAGAGCATCAGGCACAGGCAGTGGGCACAAAGCAAGCTCAAGAGTAGGGACTTTGGGTACTTTTTAGTGTCTCTTTCTATAACATGCTGAACATTTTATGACCATCAGACCATGAGAGGGTCCCCTGCAGGCCTGGGATAAGTATTCCTATTTCCATCTTATAACTGAGTGTGCAACCTGACCCAAAGACCTTCCACGAAATAGCACCTAGTGAAGTTCCCAAGTCATCTGGTGAGATATTGGAGAGTTGGGAACAAAAGCATTTACCAATTTTGAATTGTTGGGCCTGACTGTTCAACTACTTGATATAAAAGTTCTTGGAGGCCAGAACCACATGTTAATCCAAAGGGTATGTCTACTGGTTCCCGTTAACATCTGTTTCCAATGATGCTGGGGCTGTGCCCTCTGTAGAGGAGAAAGCAGGAATATCTACACTCCATACAAGTGAATGTTGTCCTCACAGTGAGAAACTTGGAAGAGTTCCTGAAAGATTTCCTGATTATCCAATGAAAGGTCCCCAGGATTTCTGTAGGAACCAGGTGTATTTCTTCTGGAACAGAAATACTTGTTCAACCAAAACCAAAAGGAAGCTCTTCCTTTACTTTTTTTTGAGGCATTCCCTGTGTCCCCCAGCATCTTGACTCATTTACCAGAGGTCCCTTCTCATGTTGAATGGTGCGAAAAATGTTCCACTTCAGCTGGTGAGTCCATTTTAAGACCACTTCACCACGAAGACATGTTTTCTGGATTAGAGTGAAATAGAGATTGAATCTTTTTATTCCCCTTTGATTAGAAAATTGCTCTTGGCAGCCTGTTTCTTTCAGAGATCATTTAAACATCTTTCCTTCCAAGCCCACAATTTTATATGCAATTAATTCTTTTATTGAGTTCCTTAATTGCTTTCATTCCACACAGTGAATCTCCTATGGGAATCCTTTAGTCCTTGGATAATCTCAAGGACAAAGTGGGTCAGAGGCCAAGGAGGTCTTCTTTTCTCTCTAACCTGGAGATTGGTGAGGCGTAAGGATGGATGAGGCTTGAGCCCTTGAAGTTGCAAGGAAAGGAATTCACTGGAAAGACGATAAGCCAAGAGTGTAAGTTACCAGAGAGGCTGCTTTATAGGAGAATTTTCTTAGTTGTCCTGAATGAAGATGGGAAGAAAGTATGCACTGGGTTCCTGAGCTGGCTGCTCCACTGAGTGCTTCTGGCCCCAAACGCAGAAGGCAATCCCAAAATGTTTGGGAACTGTCCGTGGTGCTGTCCTCCTGTAGCGTTGGTGACGACTTTCAGAAGGAATTACTTCTTAAGGATCAATGTCCTGTCTATTTCTAAGTAAGCAGACACCCTCTAGCAGTCTAACTTTATTCAATCCATTGATTCAGAGTCTTTTATTAGTTAATTATGAAGGTAAATCTGGGTATACCTAGGGTTCTGGCTATGAAGTCAGTGATCCTAGAAGCCAGGTTGCAGGCTACTGTGAGAAGAAGCCTTTAGAAAGAGACTTATAGATTCTTTAAAAACAAGAGTACTTTTTCCCTCTACTTGTAGGTTTTGGCACCATATCACAATGGCTATCCTAGCAGTGACAGTATTATTCTACTTTATTCTACTCCTCCCTCCCCGATGCCCCCATGTCATACTTTACATGTGCCTCAAGAACTCTATACCAATATAATGAGCTCTCCAGTGACATATAAATGTACCTGTCTAACCCCTTGTTTAGCTATCAATCTGGCACTATATCCATCTGGCAGGATATTGATCTACCTACTGACCTATCCACCCCTGTGGTGACATTCAGTTTTTCCATCTAGCTTTTTGCAAAAATCTCTCTGACAAATACCAATCCTCTATCTTTGGATCTCCCACAGCCCCACAGAGGAACTTCATATATATCAGTTAAGTGATTGATTCACATGCCTTTAAATCAACTCTGATTTAGTGTCTTGGTTTGATAGTAATTCTATTTCTGTAATGATCATTCCTTTACATTCAAACTACTTTCTTGAGAGAGTGACAAGTCTTCCATTTAAAAGACCATAATGACTGTGATAGCTTGTTTATGTAACTCCTCAGAATCTCAAGTGAAGGTGGGTGGGTAGGATAGGTGATTTTGATATTTGGACTGACTGAATAAACTCTCAGATCGCAGGAAAGGGGGAGGGGAGGGAGAGAGAGAGAAAGAGAGAGGATATGAATAGGATGAAAGATTGAGCAAATATTGGAAGAACAAAGAGCTTGCCAGGCCAGACAAGAATAGATTGCTCTCAATGCTCTACAGGTATCCTCAGAAAGAAATGGGGCGATGCAGCTAGTGCGCTCATTTCGAGGTCCCTGAGCTTGGTGGTATAGCTCAGAATGAACATATTTATTCTGTCTTTCACCACCAGACATTGTTAATCATGTTTGCCTGTCCACCCAGGAAAATTAAGACAAGAACATGAGATTTCCAGTGAGTTTTAAGTCTAACCATGGGCTCCTAGATTAAAAGTTTACAGAGTGAAAGATCTAGAAAGTGATACCTGCTTTTCTTATTTTAGCTTCTATTGGTATTTTTGCAAATATGTTCAAAGTACAAGAAAGCCTAAATTAAATCACCAGTCTTTGTTGTGTGTCTATGTGTGTGGGAGGTAGTGGGGATGGGTGGAAGCAAGAGTTGGAATAAAGAAGCCCAAATATCTTCTCAGGCAAGAAAGTTACTGGAGAAGGAACTCCCAATGCTATGACATTAATTCCTTGAGGGAATAGTGGAATATATGGGGTCAGAGGTAGTTCTTATCCTGTTGGTATAAAGAGGAAGCAAATGGCCAAGGAAGCAGGAGTCCCTTTTTTTTTTTTTTTCAGGAAAAAAAAAAAAAAGGGTTTGCCTATGTTTATTGTTGTTATTGTTTAAAGCCTCCAAGGACGTCAATGTTCTTTATATATTACCCTTCTCAATACCCGGTGCAGCCTATTCGTAATTTTGAATACGAGTGAATTCTGTAAGATGTTTTGCCTCTCAATTGCTCTTAAATTTTTTTTTATATCTTCAAAGAACTGATGAATTTAAAGTGTTATTTTAACTTATATTGAGACATCTTGCATAGCTCACTCTGCCTGCACTGAGAGTTACAGAATTGCAGATATGCTGGAAATGCTTTCCTATCTGTTCACAAAGTTGGATGTCATTTATGATTTCATTACACCAATGCAAGCATACTCTCAAAGAAGGTATTCATCCTACAACAGAACCTACATTCTGCATGAGAATGTGTCCAAAATAAATTCCCCCAAATTTCTATTTCCAGCCAGATCATTGTCCCCACCACCCATAATATCCTAATTCTTCTTCATGTTCATGGCACATGTGACTTCAAGGGTCAATGACAAATGAACCAAAGTTCTAGCAATTTAGGTCTCAGCTGTAATGAGATGGAAGATCTCCAGGATCAGTAAAATTCCAGATTCTTTAAAAATTGCTTTTCACCTTCTCACAGCAGCTCCTGATTATTTTCCCCTGGTTCCCTCAAGATCAAAGTATTTGCTTTCAAATCCCATCACGATCCCATTAGGAGCTTCAGCCCTGACTCTCACCCTCTCTTGCCCTACAACATAAGATGACAGTTGAACTAAGACTCTGGAGAAGTCTATGACCCACTGTCTGTTTGTAAGTTTCAACTCTCTTCCTGGTCCCAGAGAGGACCAGTTCTGCCTTTACCCACATCTGCTGATAGAAGTGATGCTCAAAGAATTGTCTACTTCCTCACAATTACTTCAAGTGGGGAAATAAAGCTCTCAGTCCTTAGGAGAACTTGTCAGGTTACCTGGAGCCCGCAGTTCCTATTAAATAAATCAAAGTACATTGGTCTTAAACTAAATAATGGCACTGGCGAGAAGCAAGAAAGAGGGGGCAAGACACCTCTTACCTGGAGACAACAGGAGCACTGTTCGCAAATGGATACCAGACAAGGGGAAGAAAGAAAAGGAAAGAGCATTAAGGTCCCATCTTGAAAGTATCCCCAGGCTTTGTGGTTGCAGCAGGGTAAGGAAGGCAGTGAGCTTAGTGGGTGAGAGCCCTGCAGCCACATGCAAAGGGCAGCATTTGGAGCATGTGCAACCACAGCAGCAGCAAGAGATGTAAGCCACTGGAGGGACTGCTGAGCACCAGAGCCCTGACTTTCCCCACACATTTCCTACAGCTCTGGGCACAAGGGGAAAAGGAAGGAGGATGGGGAATCCAGGTGAGTGGAGCAGAGACAGAGTTGGTCATTCGTGATGTTCTAAGAAATCAGGTTATCATATCCATTCTGTAAAAGAATGAGGATCTAATTACCATGAAAACTGTATAGTGTAGCTGGCTTATCATTGGGGCACATGGCCCTAGGGTTTCAAGGTCCTGAGCAGTGGCCTACAAGAGTGGAACAGTGCTCAGTCCTGTGTCTTCTAGTCCTAACTTTATAACCAGATCGAGCTTAGCTTCCCAGTGCCCATACCACTCCCATGGCCACAAATAGCTTCCTAGCTACCACACTGGCCAGAACTTGGAGTTCCCCTCAAAGGAGGACCTCATGAAAAGGTAATTTCTGCAAAATGTCTTCTCTGAATGGTTTATCTTTTTAGAGATACAGCCTGGAGATTAGGGTAATACCATTTGGTATTACCTGTGCCAGGCAAAGTCACCGCAACTAGTAGGTGTTTGGTAGAGGTATCTTTTCTTGCCACCTAGTTTGGCAATTGTATTTTTTATAGATTCTGTGGTGCTGCATCTGGCAGAGTGTGTCTTTATTCCAGAAAGGACAGGCTAAATAGGGTCCAGGTATCCTGGACCAGAGAAACTGTTATACAGAAAGCTGTTTGTAGGTAGGACTGGGAAGCTGAGTTAGATGTACCTAACACAGGGCATCCCTAGCTCCCAAATTTGTACTTATGCTAAAAAATTCTTCTGACATACCACATTTCCCTCTCAATGGTGTCTCAGTACAGCCCCACACTCCCTGGCTCTTGTCATACAGAAGTCTGGGAACATCCCACTACATACTCGTGGTATGGCTGGTGACTGATGGTGCTGGGGAAGGAGTGGGGGTGGTGTCTGTGAATTGTTTCTTCTAAAAATCTCTAGGAACGCAGCTCCGGCCAACAATCCATCATTTCACAGTCACAACCACTGAAGACACTTGTGGATTGAGAATTTTTATGTATATGAGCAGAGCGAACAGCAGTTGACTTTTTCTGGTTCCTCCCATATGGAATTCCAAGGGGGTAAGTGAGTGACTCTCTTTGCTACATTGAGATGGATAGATAGACAGATAGCAAGAGAGCTTGTTCATTCTGCTCCTTTTATGGAGCTACATGGAAGCAGAGCCCTTCCTGGCCCCCCAGGCTCCAGGGGAAACCAGAAACCCAAATACATCAGTGAACCCAGGTAGGCCAGACAAGAGGAAGCTCTTCCAGAAAGGTCCCTCCTGGCCTGGTTTTCACTCAGAAGTCCCTCCCAAGCAGAGGGCTTGCAGTCAGCCAGAAATGGTACTATTCTCTGGTCATTGTCTACATGAATTTGAGACTTTCCACTTAGCAGTTACAGATGGGTCAGCGAGACCCAGATAGGCCAATTCTGAGTGACATAACACCTCCAGGGTGTTTTTCCTGCTGCTGTTGATGAGAGAATCTGCAGCTGAACTTTCCCCTGTATTGATCCCCAGGGTCAGGTGAGCATCATTTATCCCTGCTCGGACACCCCAGGGACATACAGGAAATAGCATAGCTCTGTGAGTAATTGGAAGCATCTGGGCAGCTTGTCTGGGGGAGCCCACTGATGTGGTAAGAAGGGGCACAGACAGGCCCCATGACTGGGGGAGAATGCTTTCCTTTCCACATGAGGCTCCCAGTGTCCAGGCCCAACAGCCTTGACCATGCTGCTTGGCGTTGCCCTCCGATGTCTACTTCTAGATTCTGGCTCTTACTCTAAGCCACGACAACCATGTTTCCTATTCATCCTCCCTTTTCCCTCCTCTAGCTTATCTGGAGCATTTAATCTCACCTCTAAAGTCTGTTTTGTCTGCCAAGAATAGAATCTGCTATTTCAAATGCAGTGCTTTTTTTTTTTTCCCCTTCGGTAACGCAATTGTCATTTTGACCATGCAAAGTCTATGCTGTTCTGAATGCCTAAGACTCCCCCATGCAGCAGTGGTCATGAAAAGCTTCCTACTGTACAGTTTCTCACTCTTAGAACAGCGGGGAATTCTGAAAATCAGGATGGGTTTTCATGTGATTCTGAGTCTAGACAATCCAGTTGTATGACCTTTCACCTAATGGTCTAATGCCAAAATATGGGAAGATGTGAAGACACTGAAAATAGACAATAGACCAGGAGGTCAGGAAATGCACATATTTCCTGTTGGCACCTTCGATCTTGGCATCTTGGTCACTGGGAAGACCTGGAGGGTCCTTGCTTTCTCACCTACTCACTCCCTGGGACTAGGCGCCACTAGGTCTCTGCTGACGTCTCCTTAGACAAAGAGTCCAGGGCAAAAAAAGAGGGGCGTCCTCAAATGGGGAGTAGCCAAAGGCATTTGCATTTGGCCAGGTCTCTTGAAGAGAGCAAGGTGTATCTTAGGTCCCTCCCTGTCCTGCTGTCGATCAGGGATTATTGGGGAGGCAGAAAAGAAGAGGGAGGCCTCTACTGGTGGAATAAAATCACGGATAGACTTTCAACCCATTCGTTGTGTCTGGAGCCACTGCCTGCTTTCCAGCTACCCTGAATGATCTCCTGTGCTGTTTTCATTTGCACCTAGTAACAGACTATGGAAATTGATACATCTAGTTTACAATGGCCTTAGGCGTCTGCTGCATCCAACCAATCATGAGGCGGTGAAGTAGATGCACAAGGGAAGTCGGAATGAGGTAGGGCAGGTGTTGAGACAACTTCTGAGAATGTTCTCAGTGGTAGCAATTGGCGGACTGGCAATCTAAACAATGGAACTAGAGATTTTCTCCCTTCGCTCGCACTCTGGCAGTCAGAATTATGGCGACATCCTATCAGGTGGCAAGGAGAGGATGAGTAATGGAAGATGGAGAGGGCTTTTGCCCCTAGGACACTAGGCATGCCCAAACCTAGGTAGACACAGAACTGGTCAGATCTGCAGAGAGTCCCCAGAAGACAGTGAGAACTGATCAATCCTGTCAATAAGGCTTTAGGAGTATAGTTGCTGAATCCCTTAGATCTGTCCTTTAAGGAAAGGCTTTATGCTGCTCTTTGTCATGTGAATATGGAGTAGTTGCAGAATAATCCCCCTTTTTGGACAATCAAGTGGGTCTCACTGTTCCATCCTCCATGAGGCTCCCAGAAGCATCTCTCTCCTGAAAGGGAGTGTGAATGTCCTTCTCTTGGTACCTCCCAAGAGCACCCTTCTCCAATCCCACATATGCTCCTCCAGCACTTTCGAAGTAGTGGTTTCCAATCATTTTTCTTCAAGGGAAGAAATCTTTCCTTATATCTTCCTTGGCTGCAACATAATCAGTCCCTTAGGAATGGAACCCTAGCAGGTATTCCAAGATGCATGTCTTGAGGAAGGAAGGAGATGGGGCCACTCCTCTGGTGGGAGATGAGGGTTATCTTGGGATCTGGGTGATAAGCCTATTTGCAGATGCCAAGCCAGGCAGGCTTCGGTGAACTGTGTTATTTCTCAGGGATCGAAACCCACTACACCATTTAGAGGCCCTTCTCCTATTGGAAAACCCGTAAGTCAATACTCTGGGCCCACCCAGTGTTAGTCCTTTTCCAGGGCCCTCTGGCTGGGGAGATTCCCATACCTGGAGCTATTGCCTTCTTTTTGCAGACTCTCAATTTTCTGCTTTAGGGATTGCATGGTCCTAAAGCAGCCTGAATAAAGGTAGAATGAGATGGGCTGGATGTCAAGGGGGAGGGAGAATAGTTCAGGACTCCAGATCATATGAAAACTTCCGAAGCCAGCTCTGTCTCAGAGAGGTCTCAGAAGCTATGGCCTCTGACACCTGGCACACCTTTTCATACCATGGTCTCCCCAGCTGTGAAATAGATAAAACACTTACCTCCATGAAGGGCAGAGTGGCCTATGAACCACTCTGCAAGGGAATAACCCGCCACGCACTCAAGGAAGGTTGGGGAATGCAGCAGGAAACTGTCAAAGCATCATAGCAACATGGGCCCCGGCCCCCATCCCAGACTCTTCCCCCATTCAATCCAGGCTCAAGGGTGAAGGGTGGGAGGGCAAGAAGGCAGGAAAGGGCACAGACATGCATGGCATCACATTCCTTTCTTTTTCTTCTCCTCCCCACCCACCAAGGAGTTTCCACAGTTACAGCTTTCATGGATGTGTGGGGGCTGTGGGGGAGAGTGCCAGGGACAGTGGTGATCAGATCACTGGATCACGGGGTGGGAGGAGGTAACTCGGTAGGGTAATGAGAAGTTGAGGCTGCAGCGCTGTCCAGAAGGTGGGAAAGGAGGACCGGGGAATCAGCTAAGGCTAAGAAGGCAGAGATGACACCGAAACAGGGTGAGAGCGAGAATACAGGAGGGAAAAGAATAAAAAAGTCCGTTGGTCAAAAAGAGGAAAAAGGAAAAGGGAAGAAAATGGTGAGGGGTGGGGGCAGGGAGGAAAAAAACAGAGTTGCTTTTTTTGTGGCTGTTGCTTTTCAGTTTCAATTTTTTCTCTTTTTTTTTTTTGGTTGTTGTTGATTTTTTTTTTTTTTTTTTTAAAGAATCTCACACCTGATATTCCACGTTCCATCCATTTCGGTTCACCAAGGACAATGAAGAAATTCTCTTGCCTTTCGTATTCCTCCTCATCTACTATTTTAACCCTTATGGTTTTCCTGTAGGGACAACAAGAGAGAGAGGGTGTCGACTGGGTCGGTAGATTGGTTGGTCATTTGGAGCACAGCCTTTAAAATCATTCCCCATCACTCCTGGCGCATGCAGCCCAGTCCCGCCGTGGCGGCATCTAGTAGGACTACGGTGGATTGTATTTTTCTCATATAAAAAAAACCGTCTCAGCTTTTCTTGTCTCCTTGGTCGTAGTTTGCTTATGGGTGTGAAGGAATGGGAGCCGGCAGGCAAGGAAAAGTGGGCAAAGGAAGGGTTCCAGGAGGACAGGAGGGAAAGGGGAAGGGCAAGGGGGGTGCTGGTGGGGGCGGTCAGTTTAGATCCTGCTGATGGTTAGTAAGAAGTCAGCTGGGCAGCACGTTCCACGGGGTGTCACATGGTAACTGGCATTTCCTCGGGAAGCAGGTAAACTACTGACCCATTGGGAACGATCCAGGGCCCTTCTCCAACAGGAGATATACCAATAGTACCAAGCCAGGGGCTCGTTTTCCCTTCCTGTGTCTATACTCACTTCTTATGTGAGCATCTTAAAGAAAACTTCAAAAGTATTTATGAGGGAGAGAAACGAAAGAGAGAGAGAGAGAGAAAGGAAGGCAGAATTCTAATATCTTTGTCATTCTTGATCTTAGGGCTCCAGCAGTGGGAACTAAAATGAGTATGTATTAACCATAATGTGACACAGGACTCCTTTAATATTTACCGCTGAAGCACTCCTAGGAAAATGTAAAGAAAATGATATGTCATCAAATTCTAAATCACCTCTGTACTTCTATCGTATAGCGCTGATAAGTCCCAAGGCTGGCTTCCTTAAATGCTGATTATCTGGGGCCTGGGGAAAATGGTGAAGGAGGTTTCCCCAGGTCCCAGATAATCATTTCTCGGCATCTCAACAAAGCATAGTGTCGTTTAGAAACAAATCACCGAGGGAAGCCAAGTTTCTTGGAAAATCGCTCCCCTCCAGAGACTTGCATGAGGCTGGATCAGGCCAGCTGTCATTGGAGAAGTTGCGATCCCCATCTTGGTCCTCCCTGGAACCATAGTGGGGTTCGCACGTCCCAGTAGCGAGCCATGATTGTTATTTTCTGCTTGCTTTGTCTTTGACCTGGGACCTAAGTGCTCTCTAAAGGGCAGAGAGGTACTAACAAACAATAACCTAAAATGTCTCGTCAGAGCCTCTGATGTTCCTCTTTCCTTCTGAAGACACGCTCCGCTTTGCTATCTGTAAAATGGTAGACTGATCTGAGGGCGTTTGCTGGCCATAAGGTTTGCTGTGCACTTGTGTTTTGTGTGTGTGTTTCACAAGTACACTCTGGGTCACCCTTTTCGGTGCTATTTTTGGACACCTTTACATACTTTGCTCAGTAGACAAAAGCTAAATGACTATCAAGAAGATTTTCTAGAAACTTCTCTCTAAGCCCTAGATATGGGAACCTAGGGCTACCTAGGAGTTGTGAGCCTGGCAGCTTTTCCCTTGCAGGGACTCTGCTGTGGGTTAGGAGTGGGTGCTCTGGGACCAAGGGCCTGGCTGGAGGGATATGACTGGAGGGAAGGAATGTTGTCCCCAAATACTGGCGGCTCCCCTTGACCCAGATGGTCTGTCCAGAAGAGGATGTTCTGACTTGCCTATGAGAAGTCTGGGGTGTGTGGGGTCATTTAAGTTGAAGGCAAAGGCTTCATCTACTCTGAGAAATACTGTGATCTTGTGGGAAAGCTTCCACTCAAGCCATAATCCCCATCCCACCATTCTAAGTCTCTGCCACCACACCTAGATGTTCTCTGCAGGGAAAACAAGAGGCTGGCAGGTAGGTCTGCAACCTTGACATCAAACTAAAACCTCTACTTTCAGCTCAATCAAGGTCAGGAGGGAAACACACCTTGATAGCAGGAATATGGCAGAAAAAATGGCTCCTAAGGCCTGCTCTGAGGAATGGGATGAACCATAAATAGAACCCAAATCCAAATATACTGATTGCCAATGTCTGCAGACTCTAAGCTTAGCCCTGAGAATATCGGCCCATGGGAATCTGTGCTGATCATGGAGGCCAGTTTCCCAGTGCTGCCCTCCCACCTGGCGCCGTGTTGTGTGGTCTTTCTCCTTCCCATATAGAAAGCCATCCAGGAGAAACAGAGAGCCCTATATATGATACTCCGGGCTCTGGCTGACTATCTCTTTCTCTCTCCCCCACGCTGTGTTTTTCCCATATCCATTTCTCCATCTCACAAAAATTACCGTTGACTCCTGAACATCCCTCTTCGGATACCATGTGACAGGCTGATGGGTGTTAGGGCAGTGCTGGGATCAGAGAGAGGAGAGGGAGAGGTGCAAAGAAAGGAAATGAGAGAACAAGAAAGAAAACAAGGGGACGTGGACTTAGAGAGGCAGAAGAAAGGGAGAATAGAAGACAAACAGATGGGGGAAAGAAAGAACCAGAAGAGGAGAGGAGAGGAGAGAAGAATGTTAATGTTAGTGTGGAGGACAGGGTACTACACCTTTCTGAAAACTCATATCCACCATGCGGGGGCCCATCATCTCAATGAAGTAATTCTTGTTTTTCTCATACGCCTCATCATCAATTACCTTGATGTGAATTGTTTTGCTGTGGATGGAAAATAAGTATCATAAGCAAGGAGCAGATTGGGTGGCAGCAAGCCAGCTGGGAGAAGGAACAGGAAGAGAAGGAAACAGTAAAAAGATCCAGAAAGGTCAAAGTGTATCCCCACGGGGGCACCGAGGGGAGGGGCTGCCCCAGGCCCCCTTCCAGGCTCCCTGGGCTCCTCTTAGGCTTCGTGGGGCTTCGTGGCATGGTCAGACTCAAAGTCTGGAAAGTCAAAGGTTCTGGGTTCTAATCTTGGATACGCCACGTGACCTTGGACAAATAATGTAACTTATACAGAAACAGGTTAAATAATGCTTATACCGTCCCAGGGCAGTTGTGAGAGCAATGAAATAATATAAGCGTAATGGTCCCGTCATTTAGGTCCTCCGTGATGTTCGCTTCCTTATCCTTCTCGCTCTGGGGACAGGGAGAATTTTTTGACTTTTGAAATCAGCTGGTATTGGTCTGAAAGGCATATGTTATAGAAAGGACGTGGCTGGGGGGCCTGTTGGCCTGTGGGAGTCTTGCCTGGACACAGAAGGACTTTTTCTTTCCTTTCTCTGTGGCAGGGACTACCATGGGGAAGCCAGGAGGGCCAGGCGGCTCAAGTCACACATTCTGGAACTCACAGCGGGCTTCAAAAGCTTGTAAGCTACCTCTGAATGAGGCCTGCAGCCTCAGCGGGGGCAAGAACCGGATTACATGAACTCTAGGGCACTCTGAGCCCCAGTTACCTTACAAATCCTATAGTGACCTTGCGATTAGCACAATTATACTATTTTTATATTAAAAGGTGCTAAACAGGGGCGCCTGGGTTGCTCAGTGGGTTAAAGCCTCTGCCTTTGGCTCAGGTCATGATCCCAGGGTCCTGGGATCGAGCCCCACATCGGGCTCTCTGCTCTGCAGGGAGCCTACTTCCTCCTCTCTCTCTGCCTGCCTCTCTGCCTACTTGTGATCTCTGTCTGTCAAATAAATTAAAAAAAATAAATAAATCTTTAAAAGGTGCTAAACAATGAAAAACATAAACCAATTTTTGTAGTCCTGATTTCCATTTTCCTTCCTTCCTTCCTTCCTTCCTTCCTTCCTTCCTTCCTTCCTTCCTATTACTAGGAGCTTTAAAAACAAAGATGGATCTGGGCCTCCCCCAACCTTTGCTTAATAATGGGGACATTCCAGCACCAGACTCCAGTTGAGGCCGGTCACAGAGGGTGTGGGACACTGCTGGAGGGGTGTGCCCAGAGCTGAGTCTCCCCTCAGCAGTGGGACGAAGAGACCCATGCAGGAGCCCTGTCCAGCTGCCCATGGGGCGTGCACCCTCACAGACTTGAGGGGGCCACAGGCCTGCCCTTTGTGGACCCTTTGTTGAGGAGGCTGAGGTCTTCTGCACCTCCCTTAAAAAAAATATATATATATATATATACACACACACACACACACACACACATATGTATATATGTTGTGTATATATATACACACACACACATACATAAAGTAGGACTATCTTTACATTCTGATTGGAACAACCTCTCTGCTCGCCCAAGTTTTCCTAAGTCCCCGTTGAGCGTGTTGGATGGCAACAGAGCTTCCCTCGTCCACGCTGCTGAACCTAGAGAACCAATGCGGGCTTGTGGCTCCCGAGGTGAATGAATAGTGATTACTAACACACCCTAGCACCCGCCAGTCCGTGGCTTCAAAATCAGAGCCGCCCAACTGTCCTCCCTTGCCGCACCCACTGCCGTCGCAGCGAAAGCTGGCTCTCCAACACGGAAAGCGTGAGCGTTCAGCCTCTGACTTTCTTCCTTGAAAGCAGCGGCCCTGGTACTAGAGACTGAGGACCTGGGGTCAGATCCAGCCTCCACTTCTCACTAGCTGGGTGACCCCGAGGCAACCAGCTAAAGCTCTTCAAGTCTCATTTGTTATCGGAACACCTACTTCAGAGCGTTCTTAAATGAGATCATGCACGTGATTGATGCACTTGGTGGGGACACGTTCTCTCGTGAGCACTTAATAAAGAACAACCATTATTACTAAGGGCAACAGGACCCCGATGTGGGGGGTTGAGAGTAGTATGGGAGGGACTCTTGCCATCTCCAGTCTTTAAGTCAGAAAATAAGGGGAGATCAACAGATAGAACGGGTGGCTCAAGGGGGGTACAGGCCGGAAATGGAAGTCAGGTCAAGAAAGGACTGGATAGGGGCGCCTGGGTGGCTCAGTGGGTTAAAGCCTCTGCCTTCAGCTCAAGTCATGATCTCAGGGTCCTGGGATCGAGCCCTGCTTTGGACCCTCTGCTCAGCAGGGAGCCTGCTTCCTCCTCTCTCTCTGCCTACTTGTGATCTCTGTCAAATAAATAAATAAAATCTTAAAAAAAAAAAAAAAGAAAAGGAAGGACTGGATAGTGCAGGACGATCCGTCCTAGATGCGTTAGGGGAGGGGCTGATAATGCTAAAGGTGAGAGCACAGACAGCAACTCACGGTTTTTCAAAATCTGGCCTTGAGTCTCTGTCATTGACAAGCTCCGGGCTGGACAGACCGTGTCTGGGGACCATCTGTGACTTGTGCTTGTGACTTTTAGCGAATAGATGAAGAGAATAAGAGATGTCGATAACTCAGTGGAAGACAGGGAAACGAGGACAGACAGTAGTAGTGGCCCGAGGAACTGAGGTGGGCCTGGCGGACCCAATGGCTGGAGGAGTGCAGGAGACGGGGTATCTGACTCCCTCGCTGGGATCAGTCATGGGGACGGCAATACCTCCATTTGGACCCTGCCTGGAGCTAGAGAAACCCTTTCTCTTCTAGCTCTTGAAAACCAAGTAAGTCCTCAATTCTGATGAAGCCACAAGGACATTTAAATTAAGGGAGAGTCACCAGCCAGGTCTTGAGTTCTCTTTCTTAACTTGTTCTTCCTCATTTCAGTCAACAGCAACATGGTCTATCCAGACCCGGAAATCACCCCTGATTCTTTCCTTTTCCTCACTCTTTCCCCCAACACCACCCCAACCCTAATGTAATTTGCTGTCATATTTCCGTCTGCTACTGAGACCCCGATCGATACACCATTGCCTCTCCTTTGGACTTCGTAATAACTTTGTAAGAGATATTCCGGCCTTTGCCCCCTCCTTCAACTCCTTCCCCCCATAATGACCCAGGGCTGTCTGTTAAAAACACAATCCAAGTCCCATCCCACCATTATCATTGGAATAAATGCAGAGTCCTTACCATGGCCTATAGGATCTTACATATCCCAGCTCCTGGTGACCTTGCTGACTCCATTCCCACCATTCTCCCCTTGCTCGGGAGTCCCACCGACACTGGTCTTTCTTTCTATTCCTTAAATCAAGACCCTTCCCACTTGAGGCATCATCCTTGCTTGTTCTCTGTGCCTGGGTCTGTGCTATCCTCATCCTTTGGGTCTCCACATAAGCATCACCTCCTAGGAGAGGCCCTCCATGGGCACCTGACCTCCTTGTGTCTTTTTCCTGCTCACTGTCTCTACCCCCCACACCACGGGTCACCTTCCTCTATGTTCCGTCTGCTCATTCCCTTCAGTGCACCAATCACAGCCTGAAGGCAAATGGCTGGTTTATTAACTTTCTTGTTTCTAGTCTGTCTGTCCACATTGGAATGTAAGCACAGGGAAACTGTCTCACTTGCCATCATGGTCCTAGTGGCCGGCGTGGAGAAGGACCTTGACCATGACTTGCTGAAGGACTGAAGGTGAATTTCTGACACAGCTGAGAACACACCTGCCTTTTTGCAGCAAAAACTCATTAGGAACAACAATAAAACATTGCTTTGAAGGCTTTTCTGATATAATGCTCAAGGATTCCCCGTGGGACAAAGAGACCAGAAGCCCAATGTCATCCAACTCTACCATCCGTTGATGAGCCCACTCCATTTGTCTGTCTACAGGACCGCTCTCCAGCAACACGCTGGGACTGAATTCATGGGGCTTGGCTGGGGGCTTTGAACCATAACAAGGCAAGGTATTGACCTGCCCTGCTTCTCCTCCCAGCCTTCTGCTGAGGGAGGAACCAACGCCGGCAGTGCTCCCAAGCTCGAAGGGCTACTGCTTGGAAAAGATGCTCCCAGGAGCTCTCCCACCAACAAGCCAGAAGGGATCAGGAAACCCGTTTCCGGTCTGCCTGCCTGGCCTCTCAGAACATTCCTTTGCACTGAGGACACCCAATTCCAAACCAGGCCTCTCGTCCTCAGGACACTGCAAAGGGAAGGGTGCTCTTTAGCCACTGAGTTCCCTGAGGGTGAAAGAGAGAGAGGAAGCAGCATTTATTTGTAGAATGGATGAATACTACCCTGGAGGAGGGCCCTGTGGACTTGGCTTTACGCAGGAAAGGGATTTGAGATAAGATACACATTTACATTCTCAACACCATGAGAACTTCCTTATTTCATCCTTACTTCCCCCATCTAACATAGGAATTATTACTTGCACTTTAAAAGATGAGAAAACAAATTCTCAGAGAGGCTAAGTCACTTGCCTAGAGTCATAGAGCTAGCACACAGTGGAGCTGGGATTTTAGCAAACGTCCCTTATTACTGCTACAGCCTATTTTATGCAAGCAGGCGGGTAAACTCTGGACGCCATTCCTGAGCTGTGCCACAGGGAGGAACCACAGAATTCTCCCATTTAAATGGAGGCAGCAGGGGAGAAATTCGGTTCCTAAGTGGCTCTGCCTGGGTACTGTGCCGGGAGTAGGGGGCTTGCTAACTCTTTGGCCCTCCCTTTCTAGAAGTAATCGCTAAGAAATCTCTAACTTAGTGACTGCTGCCCTTCGGATTTCTATGAAATGACTCTTCCCCATCGAGAAGGGTTCTTTCTCGTCGTTTCTGAATTTACCCCAGGTGCTCCAGGCCTGCTCACAACTCACAAAGCTCCCTCCACCTGGGCCTGGAGGACAGCGGGCGTGGACCTGTAAGCCTTTCTGTGGGAGCTTTCAGAAGCCTCATATTCTGTGTTGGGTTCTTGTAGTCTTCCTTATTAG